AGAAGTGGTCGAAAAAGTGGCCCAATCCGAATCATTTTGAATAGCCGTCGTCCTTGGACGAAAACCTTTCGATGATAGGTATAAAAAATTAATTTTAGGATTTACACATCCCTCAAATACATACCCATATATGTGCGTTTGTTTGTGTGTGTGTATTGTGTATGGATGAAATCTTATTAAACAGTTAAAAACCGCTTATTTATGCGAACAAACAAACACATTCACTTCATTAATTATTACACTACGTAGTCATGAACGATCTCTAGAGGGCAAAAAGAATTTCATCTCAAACTCAACAAAATAAACAACAATTTTTTTATTCGCCAACTGACGGCAGTAAAAAGCATTATTCTGTCAAATATTAAAAACGCATCCATGCAATTTACGATATTTTTATTTGTTCCCGCGTGGGGCAACCCTAATTTCGTCAAACAAAATGCATGTAAACAACGTCATGGCAACTCTTACCTATACTTTTTTATATCGTCATTACATATATATGTATGGCAAGGATCGTAAATAATTTTTTTTATTTTTTTTTACGAAAGTGCCAAAGCGAAAAGCAAATAAATGTAATGAGCATACAATTAGAACGCAAGAAATTTTCTTTAATAATTGAAAGCAAGAAAAAAAGGAGGAAAATTACATAAATGAAGAAATGTAATAATAAATGGAAGATATTTTCAATATTTTAAAAGTTAATAAAACTTAAAACTAAAGTGTACGAAAAAGAATAAAAATAATTATCAATTATTTGAAAAGTAAGCTTGAATTTGTGGGCGATTTAGTTGTTTTGAAAGCGAAGCAGCGGATAGAAGAAGATAAAAGCAATGGCTCAATGGATTACAACAAAACGAAATCAAGAGGCTATGTCACAAATGAATGCCTGGATTAATGGTGAGTCATTTGCGGCAACCTGCGATATAGCACATAAAAGGGATGGAAAATAAATGCTGAAGTGGTGCCACATTAAATGCCAGACATGGTAGACAATTTTTTTAAAAGCATATACATTTAAACAGACATATGAAGAGAGGTTAACCATAAACACCTAAGTACAATAAAGCATTTTGTCTACGTCACTACATACAACATAGAACAAATAAGGGTTGCATGCATGTAATTCACTGTTTCAATGTAAAGCGGTAGTAAAATAGGAGACGCACAACGGACGAAAAGACAGTAAAAACCCTACATTAGCTAACAAAAAGCAAATATGAAATGATATATGTTGTGTTGATGCAGTTGTTGCCCGCTCTTAAGGGGGCTTTGCTTTTATTGATTTTTTGTGCTTTCCTTTAAACACTAGCAATGAAATGTTTTTTTTATTTTTTCCTTAAACTTTCCATTTACGGTTGAAGAAGACTTCTTTTGCACAGACAATAAGAGATAGAATTTTTATAATTTCTAATGTTTCAAGAGAATCGAAAAGAAGGAAGGGTGTGTAGAAAAGTCAAGGGATTTTTTCAGACTTGCGAGTAAATGTTCGTAAATTACATATGTAGGGAAGTATTTTTAAATGTGGCGAAGCGCTCAGAGCTCCGTACACTTATACCGCTTTATTGCCTATGTTGGTTTTTATGGGATGAGAAAACTGAGCTGAAGACAGCAACCGGAACATACATACATATATACATACATACGTACGTAAATGAAGATGCGCCGCCGTTATAAAGTTATTTTGGTCACATGCACTATTACGCTTTCGAGAAAGAGAGCTGAGGAGCACCAGGAATAAAATATAAATACATTGAATGTATGGAGAGATGGAGGCACAACATGTAATACATTACGCCTATATACGTATATGCGTCGTGTATGATTGCATTTATATAATAAACACCAATGGTAAAAGCCAGCTAGATATAGATATAGCTGTCATGCATGTTTGTGCTGCTTATGTATGATAAATATGTAGGCAATATATCTTTTGGCGTGTGTATGCATGTACGTATGTACGAATGTGTGCGTGTGTGTATTTAGAGGTTTGTGGGGAACATTCGTTTTTTGTATGCTTTTCTCTCAATTTAGTGCTTTTTTATCTTTTTTTTTTTTTGGGTAGGGTGTCATGGATTTTGATTTTCAGTTTTTTCTTTTTTTTTTTTGCTCCTTCGCCACACAACACTTTCTTGCTTTTATGCGGTTATTTTCGATTGCATTCGAATTAAAGAAAAAAGCAAAGAAATTGTAATACTTCACGGGAAAGTAAGGAGAGGAGAAGAAACGACGACAACACAAACAGAGGCAGAAATGTTTTACTCGCGGCGTTTTTTTTTTCTTTCAAGTCAATAGATATCTGAGTTTCTGTTTGCGTCCGTTGTGTCGAGTACAGTGTCTTTTGTCGTTAGTTTTTTTTGTTTTTTAGTGATGGCACGCGCGCCTAACCAAAACAAACAGCTGCAAAGTTTTTCACATATACGTATACTTTTTATTAATTAGTGCAAACCAGCAGAAGTAACAGCAGCAACAACAAGCACAGAAATCATAAAAAAATATAAAAAAAACAAAAATTTTCATCTTTGTTCTCATTACGACTTTCTGTTATAAAAATCGTTATAAAATTAATTTAAACATTTCGTTTCATGGTTTTATATCGCTTTATAGACATTTTCGATGCCATAGGTAATAAAAAAATAAATAAATGAGTGTTATATAAGCGAAACAAGTGAAATAAAAGCTTAGCAGTTATTACTAGTTATTGTTGGACTTCATTTTTAGACAAACTCTTTTGAAAATATTATGTAAAAAAAAAAAAAATGCTTATAGCAAAGTGAAGAAAATCCTTTAAACAGTCTTCTGAAGAAACCACAACAATCGGTGAAAAGTTAATAATAGAAAATCAACACTGTTCGCGTCATTGTGCTAACGCAAAATTTATTACGAACCGACAGACCCGGAAGGTCCGATTTCTCGCAATACTGGTTTTTTGCACTTCAATGTAATAATGCCTTTGTTCCATAGTTAATGAAAGTCCTGATGGCCGATTTATTGCAATTATATTAATTATCGTGTCGGTCTGTCTTGTTCTTGAATTTATCAGTTGAGGACAAATTCGCCTATGCTCAAGCCAGCAGAAAGAAAATGAAAATATACGAAATAAATAAGAATACTGGAGCGTGTACTAGTTATTGTCATTATCTCATTATCAGCGCATTCCTGTAATCTTATAACCGTGTTCCGAGCAACATCGTATGGCCATCACCAGAGATTTTATTTGTGTTTGTTGTTTTGTGTGACTTAACAACCTTGTGATATTATTGGAGCTTGTTTGTTACGACAACGAATTCCGATATCAAAATTGATACAAAGGCACAAGAATTATCTTTAAGAAGAACGCACATTTCTCTTATGACTCGTAACCGCTCGCAAGGCCAAAATATAATATAGTGTGAGATTTAAACAAACAACATTCTCGCTTAAGTAATCGGTAACCATTGCCATCCACTCATTCCAAGTGGGTTTAACCGTCCAACGGATTATTTGCTCTCTGCCTATTAGAAATTTAATTTTGACCCTTTCAAAATGTATGCATCTACAATATCCTTTTATAATATTAAATGTTACGATGCACTCTCCAAAGCTTCTATAATGCATTCAATTGAAAATTTCATTTCATTGATTACTTGCAACCATTACAAGACAATTCAATTATGCTTGACTGCTTGATTACTCGCCTACCCCCCCCGTTACGTTAACAATAATTTCAGTCACAAACAAGAACACTAAAGACGCCATTGAATCAATATTCCAAATACCGGTCATCATAAAAAGTACATATAAAAAGCAAAAATTATTTATTTACCAATGCTCTCCCATGACAACTCGTGATCGAAAACCCTTAATAGTAGAATTGACCGAAAATATCCTTTCATCGATTACTGGTCCATAAGCATGTTATACTTAAGCATACTTCCTTATCTATTGTTATAAATAACTGAAGAGGTAGAGTGGAGCTTCTTAAAAATAATTTGCGGACTTAAAAGAGGTTTGAAGATTGTGTATATATTTTACAATTAGGAGAAGAAATAACATGCAAATAAAGTAACACTCCATCTATTTCATCCAGATGATTGACACAAATCATTTTTCAATTGTCGCAAAATCCCTTGCAGGTCAGTTGACCAATCTAAAAACGTATGCCTGTAAAATCTTTTCATATATACTCAACGTTGCGCCGACTTATTGATAATAATTTTGGGAAAATCTCTACCTCATATCCACCTGATACGCGTCAGGTTTTAAATGTCAAACATTTCTGTGAGCGAAAATGGACGGACGGATGGACATGAAAACATTTAATAAGGATGAGCATATTTTGGGAGGGCTTCAGTTAATAATTGTTACTGTTGTGAATGGAATAAGGGAATTACTATAACAACGGATTTTGATAGCGCTTGAAAGAGCTGATTATTAGAAAGCGACAGGCAGAAGAAAAGTATAAAACTAACGTATTGGTATCGTTGGGTGCAGACCTAAAACCACCTCGCTCTTAATTGAAACTTAGAATCAGCGATGGTTCTTCATGTAACTTGGTGGACGCACTTTAGCTAACTTAGAAACAAAAAACAAAATTAATTTTGAGAAATTTCTCCTTGGACTAAACTTAACAAAATATTATACAAAACTCTCTCTCTCTCTCTCTCTCTCTCTCTCTCTGTCTGTCTGTCTCTGTCTGTCTCTTTCCCTCGTCCTCTCCATTCCATTAGTAAATTAACATGTGAAAACAATTTATAATTTTGCAAGATATTTATATATGTGACGGAAGACGGTTATAAGAACACTTCTTTATATATAAATTTAATCTTAGTGATGCGATAAACATGAAAGTGTTTCAATTGAAATTGAAGGTCAGACATAAACTAAAATAAATGCTAAGCTCGATGGAAAGATAAAACGCACGTTTATCATTAATAATAATAATAATAATAATAATAATAATAATGAGTGTGTTTTCTCTTCTCCATAAAAAAATCTGCTGCCCGCCCCCTCAACTTATATAGTGGAAACTCTTAATAATAACAATGGTTTGCTACTCTCACCGCCACATAATTCGAGCCATCAACAGCAACAACAGCACTCATCACGCAGCGGTGGTTCTGGTGGGGTCTCAACGGGCGGAAATGATAGAAGCAGCGCTGGCATGGTTGGAACGTCATCCGGTGGAGCAAGTGGAGAAATCAATAATCTACAAATAACACAACCGATTAGTGCACCTGCTTCACCGTTAGCATCGCCTGGTGCGATAAGTAGTTCAACATCATTCTGTTTGCCGTCAAGTTCAAATGCTTTAGCTGCTACCACTGGCAGCGGTTCTTATGTATGTTCGGGAGGAGCAGCAGGCAATATGTCTTATGCAAATTCAGGTGTGTCAAATGCCAGCGATACAGCCGATCCCAATTGGCAAGCAACCAAAGCTACAGTCTTGGAACGTAATGCAGCCATGTTTAACAATGAGTTAATGTCAGATGTGAAATTTATAGTGGGTGGGGATTTCGGTGAGTTTTTTCATAAATTAAAGCAATCAAGAATAAATTTTTCATTCTATCGGACGCAGATACGGTACAAACGATACCAGCTCATAAGTATATATTAGCCACTGGCAGTTCGGTATTTTATGCCATGTTTTATGGCGGCCTGGCCGAAAATAAACAAGAAATTAAAGTACCCGATGTGGAACCAACAGCCTTTTTAACACTATTAAGGTTCGTTTTGATAGACTTTTTTCTTTGTTTTTTTTTTTTTTTTTTTTTTTGGAAAACTGGGCTTATTATTTACCCGACCTACTTGCAGATATTTATATTGTGATGAAATACAATTGGAACCTGATAATATTTTGGCCACTTTATACGCGGCCAAAAAGTACATAGTACCGCATTTGGCACGAGCTTGTGTCAACTATTTGGAAGTTAAGTTGACGGCAAAAAACGCTTGTCTACTTCTCAGTCAGTCGCGACTTTTCGAAGAGCCCGAACTGATGCAGCGTTGCTGGGAAGTAATCGACGCCCAAGCCGAAATGGCCATTAAATCGGAAGATTTTGTCGATATCGATTTAAAAACATTCGAATCGATTTTATGGCGCGAAACTTTAAATTGTAAAGAGATTCATCTCTTTGAAGCCGCCTTAAATTGGGCTCAAAATTGCTGCCAAAAAATGGGTATCGATCAGACGGCTCAAAATATGCGCAAAGTACTCGGCCAGGCACTGCATTTAATACGTATACCTACGATGACCTTGGACGAGTTCGCCAACGGTGTAGCACAGACAGGTATACTAACATCCCAAGAAACAATTGACATGTTTTTGCATTTTACCGCAAAATCAAAACCGTCATTAAACTTTCCTATTAAGCCAAGGGCCGGTTTGAAAACGCAAGTCTGTCATCGTTTTCAATCATGTGCTTATCGCTCAAATCAATGGCGTTATCGCGGCCGTTGTGATAGTATACAGTTTTCGGTGGATAAGAGGTAAGAGAAAAAAAGCGCGAGACGCACGGAATATTTTAATTTTAAATTGATTTCGAATATTTTTACAGAATTTTCATAGTCGGTTTCGGTTTATACGGTTCCTCGACTGGAGCTGCTACCTATAATGTTAAAATTGAATTAAAACGGTTAGGACGCACTTTGGCTGAAAACGATACGAAATTCTTTTCGGACGGTTCGAGCAATACTTTCCATGTATTCTTTGAGAACCCAATACAAATCGAACCGGAATGTTATTACACAGCTTCGGTGATATTGGACGGTGTTGAGTTATCATTTTTCGGCCAAGAAGGCATGTCTGAGGTGTGCATGGGCAATGTGACATTTCAGTTCCAATGCTCCTCGGAAAGTACTAATGGAACTGGTGTACAAGGCGGGCAGATACCAGAACTGATATTTTACGGACCGACAGCAATAGCTTCAATGAATTCACCTCCTAATTCAATGTGCGCCAGTCCTGTGGGCGATATGGACGGTTGCATTGGCATTGGAAATAAAAGTAATCGCAATTCCAGTGAATTATCTGGTAATTGCGATGACATTTTATCCGGGGGTGGTGGCGGTGGCGGCGACGCAGCAGCAGAAGCGGCAACCTCAACTAATTGAAATTAGTTTATAAGTCATTAACAACAACCAACAACACTTAACAACAAAAAAGACATACAAAAGCAACACATGGTTTTTCATCATTATTATTATTATTATTATTAATTAATACCTAAATACTATTATATATTAAAAATAGTTACGAAACAAATACGAAAGACAGCAGTAACCGTATATACAAACACAAAAATTATTGCGGGCATTATTTTTGGATTTTATTGCTTGACGTTATTAAGCGTGACATCCAAAAAGAAAACAAAATCTATTAGAGAAAATATTGTAGGGAAAGTAGTCATTTTTCTTAGTAGATACAGGTACACACACACGCATACACATGAACACAAATACGCATGTGAAAATGGTAAATGTGGGAACATATATAATAGCAGTTATAATAGCAGTTAAATACCAAGTTAAAGAATTTTACAAAGTATATATAGATTTATACATATATATATATTTATACATATATATATATATATGTATATATATGTATATATATTATAATGATATAATCAAGTTTTTTGAAAAAGAATTTCTAAAAAAGCTCTACTTTTTTTTTTTTTTTTTTTTTAATTGGTAATCAAGAGAGTAAATAGAAAGATATACGAATTCCGTCACTCATATAAAAAATATGAAAAGAATTATAAAGAAGGGAGAAAAAATGTTAAACTTATATTTTAATAGTACTACACAACAACAACAAGTTAAAAAGCAAATATTACTTAAAAATATTTATTCAACTTTTATAGATATATATATATATATATATGTATGTATACGTGCATATATATATATGCATTCAAACAATTCATAAACATAACAATTATTTAATCTAAACTCATATTCAACTTATCCCCAATTAACTTTCTCTCGTAGTTTATTGGAAAGAAAAAGAATTTCAAAAAATTTAAGCAAACAATTATGCGCAACAAGAACACAACTTTATATAAACAAAAAGAATAAGAATAGCACAGCTGCATTTAATCTATAATTTAAAGATTTAATCCATAAAGAAATCCATCCAACATAACATCAACTACAACAACAAATCCATTTTGATTTTGTTTTTGTTTTCTTTCACATAATCATAATCATAAGCTCATCTTGCTTTCTTCCTTTTTATGAAAACTCCATCGTTTTCACCCTAAGTTAGTTTTTACATTAAATTTGTTATGTACTGATTTGCTCTAAGCCTATATTTTCTAGTAATGTGTCTTCTTTTCTTCCGCCTACAATTGATTTAATGTCAATATTATTAAATATTTTCCGCAAAAGCCTTTATTACATATAACTTTATTATATTGTATTAAATACTAAATAAAAATATATAATTTTTAGATTTTTCCTAACATTGCTAAGATTCCATTTCAGCATTCGCATGATAGGAATAGGAAAGGATTACGTTCAAAAGAAAAACGAATTGCATTCAGTGTATTCCGAATTTTGGGCTAAGTAAGCTTAGCCATTAGTCGCTTCATAAATTACAAGAATCTTGAGTGAGTTCAAAAGTTGCAATCGATCATTGACCTACTGTCCGTCGGTTCAACAATACTACTTCAAAAACTTCGGCTACAACTATAGGCAAATCTCTCTGGCCGCGTTTGTTGTTCCATACCAGCTAATCTGAAAAGCGGCGCTGCACCTCTCGTGCTTTTTGTTTTCCTTTTTTCCTCCAGTTATCATCTAAGTTGGCATCTAAAAGTTCCTATTTTCGTGTTACTTCCCTACTTCCTTATGCTCATCTTAAGATTATACCATTGCAGGTACGTTAATCTTTTTGCACAAATTATTACCTTCAACTCTTTATAGATATAACGTATCATTGTTGATACGTTAGTCCTTCGTAGGCTTCAATATACACTATAGAGTTTTTGCATAGCTGCCATTGATTTTCACTGATTTTGACTTGAGTTTAGTTGGTCATGTCCCCACCTCCTTCAGACGTTTTAACTTGCCCTAGCCTGCTATATAATTGTTGGATCTATGCTTTTGAATGGAAGTTTACATCGAAATCTATATAAGACTGACTTAAATACCACTGTTTTTTGAAATTCATTTATGAAATATTAAAAAAAAATTATTCAATTAATTACTGAAAAGAACACGATATCAGAACGCTTAGGCCAAGTTAGACTGGCTTGCATTTAATTTAACTACGTAAATCAAAGGTATTTCTAGCAATTACTGGGACAGACGCATCAAATAAATTGAAAAAAGATGTATTTTCATTAGGAATTTAGAGCTGCAGAAAGCGTTGCCCTAAAGTACTTATTACCCGTATGAGTAGCCTGCTAGATAAGAATCGCGATTATCAAGTTCGTACTGTTTGCCGTTTCGGGTTCTCCTCTGAAGTGCGGTAGTGTCTAAATTGGCCATAGTTATAACGAGTGCTCAGTCGGTAAAGGCCTAACACTTACTAGGCTGCGGCCGCCACCTTCCTTTCACCCCAACTGATTGGTCCACAAATAAAAAAAAAAAAAATCAAAATATGCTAGCAAAGCTGGATGCGGTACCAGTCACCTATTTCAAATACAAAATCCCAATTTTCCCCACATGTACTTGTTCAGATATATAAGAATGCCCGCAAAGCAAACACACCCATCAAAATTGTTTTCAGGAAACAAGGGTTCCACATTGATTTAGATCTAATCTGAAGATTACTTACCAACGGATGGTATATTAATGCATAAAGCATTCGATAGCTTCAAATAGGTGCGTCCCAATTCGTAAGAGCATATTTGTTGGACGTCACTTATGTCAATCAATAAATGTGATGTGCCTTCGGTGCGACAAGTAATGTACACACATGCCGCATATATATGTGTACTTTTACGGCCACGAGTTAAATGGCGTATTAATGCCATACGAAAGAAATTCAATGCCGTATCAATGTAATGCTGAGTTAGCTGTAACTGCTGACATAAATGGGTAATCTCTTTTTTTGCTTTCTTTATTGTGACCTCACGGGACTCGGAGCCGGAGCCAACTTGAAATTTTCCATAACCATAATTAGTGGCGCCACCTGCGGAGTCAGCGGAAACAAATTGGCCAATAGCAGCAGCACCATGACCAGCATCTTCGAATTGCACTTCTGAGACGATAAGAGAATCTTCCAGAACAGAACCACAATTGGTACAAACTATAAAATTTCCATAATTAATTTATGTTAAATCAGGGGATATCTTTCTCCAGTTCATCTGCTTTTTTACCTCTATCTCCGCGAGCATTATCTTCTTCGATATCTGTCGAACCACAATTACGACACTTTACACCTGAAGACATATTTGTTTAATTTATTTTTTTTTTTTTCTTTGCTTTACAACTTTTTCCTTTTTTTTAAGTAAAATTTACACTTCTCGCCGGTTCAAATACATGCGGAAAACAAGTCATTCTTTTTTTTTTTCCTTTAATAATAATAACAACTTAACCGATATCACATGTTCTCGTCTGTTGGTTTGCTTTGACTTTTCTCGTTTTACCAAATTTAAATCGTTTGACGTTTCTTGTAAAAAAAAAAGAAACCCAGCTGACAAATAAAGATTTTATGATGTCATTCGTAGTAATCTCACAAGAGAGCACGTAAACCGCTGTTTATATTCACTACTGCCTAGGTAACCTGTCGAGGCGAAGAACAGTGCGAATGGCATGATTTATTAACTAAATTGGTCAAGCATGTATTTTACCATTTGCAGAAGAGGGCTTCTCAACCTTTTATGCCGACCTTTGTTAGACTATTATCAAAAGCAGTCATGTCTTACAAATATTTACAGGAATTAATCAAAATCTTTGCTTGCAACTGTTAACATCAATTGGTTTGTCGGTTCGTCTTGAGGGAAAGTGTTCAAGTTCATGTCATTATTGTAGACTTGAAACATTTTTTTTACTTTAGTAAAGGCTCAGTATTCATATAAAGTCTCGATAGCGACAGCTCGACTTAATAATTATAAGGAAATGAGAAAATTAACATACTATTTAATTCTTTTTCTTTTTTTTTTTTTTTGAGTAATTTTCATTTACAATTTTCCTCTTAAGTATATTACGGAAAAGTTGTGGGAATAAATAGTATATTTCACCTAGGCATAATATTATGTCGTGATTTTTCGCTTTTCGATTGATTTTTCCTTTTTTTATATTTATTAAAAGGCCAAAATTCAAATGATTCAAGAAGGCGAGTTTCCGAACATACTCAAACACTTTACTTTAAGTAAATTGGAGAAATTTATTTTATAAATTTACATATAAAATATATAACATATATACAAAATTTATATGTAATTAAAAATATATGTGTACATTTATAAATTAAATTTTTTATGCTTTTATAATTTAAGTTTATTCAAAATCTATAAATTGAATGGTTTCCCCAGGGCTGAAAATATAAGCGAAGCTTCTAAGCTGTAGACAACTTCCTTCTTGATAAAAAGGAATCCTAAACACCATTCTGCCACGCTTTTAATTCTTTCGTTTTGATAGACAACTGATCACATATTTCGATCAAAAAAAGGCAGGACTCGTCTTGTGTCTCTTGCTTATTCTGGTGTTTAAGAAATGTGGTGACATATTCATGATCCACACAATAGCAGATTACTAAGCATATTTAATGCAACGGTACATGGAACAAATTTGTAAAAATTGAAGAAAACTATAAAAGTGAAGTGCACAAACGATGGGAGAAAGGAAATAGACAAAGGCAGACCCATAGAAATTTTACTTATTTTCATTAACTTATTTGTCAACCAAATTGCATTACATTGCAACGTAAAAATTTGCTAATACATTAGAATGGCGATAAGTATCATTTTATTAAATGGTTATATGAATAACTTACATTCAACTTCCTCCATATTTTAATACTGGAACGTTTTCTTTTCCGTTTCATATTGTTTCGCATGTTGACAACCCTGGTATAGCAAAGTTTTGTTGTCATTTTTGCTTCGGAATAGGAAAATTTAACATTTCATGGTGAATTTTAAATGTGCACTGTACTATTTTCGTCAAGTCCGTTTGTCGTTTCCCTTTCCTATTCCTTTTTAAGGAATAGTATGTTATGCTGAAATTGAAGTAAATTACCAATCGGCAACGGGCCTAAAAACCACCTCGATTCACAATCATACGAGAGTAATTTAATGGGCGGGCCTAACACCCACCTCGATTCACAGTCATATGAGAGTAATTTAATGGGCGGGCCTAAAACCCACCTCAATTCGCAGTCATAAGAGAGTAATTTAATGACCACTTGTTAGAATGTAAATATTGGAAATATTTATTCTCCTTTCTCCGCATCACATAAAAATACATGTGCATAAAAATAAATACGAAATTTTTAATGATGATGAAATGGAAAATTCTTAATGTCGTCATTTTGTTGTTGTGTTGCTAGTAAAACCAATTGAAAAGTGAAACGATTACAAGTAAATATAATAGTAAATTTTATAACGGTCTTAACCTTTATAATGCCAGGATAAGGCTATAAAAGTTTTCATAACCGATAAATCGATTGTATGATGCCGGCATTGCAGATTGAAATAAATCGAAAACTTTGTCAAAATTCATTTATGAAACATTAAATTTGTTGTTTTCGAAACCGTGTTTTACGAGCTTACTTCTCCGTCAACCTTTTTATAAATGCATTTGCAAAATAAGATTCTGTAGTGAGAGTCATTCCACCTTCCGATTAAAGCACATTTTCTACCGATCATTTTGAAATAATTTTAAAAAAACAGGAAAACGTTATTTTTTTAAATCGATTTTACGGAATGATTTTCTTGTACTTTAAAAAATAATTTTTGTGTGCTTTATTTGCTTATGTAATAATCTGAATCTCTCATAAATTTTTTCTTTTTTGTTTTTTTAAATTTTAAACGAAAATTACTGCATTTTAATAACTACAACATAATGACAATAGTATACAATGCATATACTAGCATACTGTATACTGTTATGTAATCCTCTTAAGGAAAGATTACGGAGAGAGTCGATTCATAAGAAAGACGACCTTCATTCGCATACGTTCGCCTGCTTTTAAACCAAGTTAAGAAAAATAAGGAAGACAAAAATTTTTCTCTTTCTTTTTTTCTTATGTAATAGTTTTCTCTTTCCATGTTAAACATTGCTTTATTTTAAAAATATTTAATACATTTTACAAATATTACACTTGTACACTGAGCAAAAAATTGAATCAGCGAAAACTCTTTCCCTTAAAACAATTATTTTAAAATAGACTAAATCTTTTTTAATAATTGATGCTCTTTATAACATTATGTTGTAATAATCATCGGCAGTAACGTTATGCGGCCCACCGTAATAATCCAAAACAAAAATATTTTTGATATCCAGTTCGCATAAGTAAAAGGTGTGAGCTAAATAGAAAAACTTAAATGAATACTTGACACAATAAATACCTTCTAAGTACAAAATAAATACCTTTTATCCAATTTTTAGCAGCTGGATGACGTTGCACGAAAGCTACTAAAGCGTCGTCATAATTTTGGTCACTTTTACCCATCTTAAAGTAAATAAAAAAAAAAAAAAAAAACCAGTAAGTACGTAAGGAAATTATCTTAGGTTTGAAGCGAATCCTTAATCTTCATTAACCGTATAATAGCGGAGTCAGTTGCCCTAATGGATACGAGTTTTCTAATTGTAGGATATTTTAAGCGAATCTGCGAACTATTTGAACCAATTTTTTTTTTTTTAAACTACATTATACCACGTTAGCGATCTTAGTTACGGCTTTTTTGTTTGGCGTCAGAATGTTTATGAGCTGATCAAAGCCGTTTCCACAACGACTTTGGAAAATGTTCGCATCAAGTTAAAGATTGATAGATCCCATCAATTAGAGGGCCGAGGTATGCCGTGTTTCAGTTTTATATCCATATTTTAGACTTTGCGCTCATTACAATTCTAATAACAAAGAGCAGAGAGCGAGGTATTCCAAAATGGCTGAAAGGTTTTAGAATCTTTTGCCGATTAATAATGTGCGAACATAAAGAAGAACACGATTTTTAATGAGTATTGCCCACAGAAGGACATATGTATTGCTACCCTTAAAGATAAGAAATTTTTCTTAAATCATTTCCACCTTTTTTTCTTTCTTTTTTAACATACCTGCTTAACTTGACCACTTATTATAACGCGAGCACATGTTGGCTCCATTGGATCTTGTTTATGATTTTCGCAATCCAAGCGTTGATCATTGCTGAATAAAAATGTTGCCTTATTATTATATCTCCAGTCGGGGCCGGTAAAATCCAAATCGGTTAACATAAAATGTATTTTCCCCGTTGACACGCCTTTGGAGTCATTATCATCGATTGAGATGACATTAACCATAGGATAGCCCGTAACTAAGCGATTAGTGGAAATCGTTCCTACCGCAGCCCAATTCGCGTGATTAACTAAAGTACGCGCTATCTTCGCATGATTTAAATCCGGTTGTCTTTCCAACATTAATTGCTGATATTTATATGCGTTTATGATACGCTCATCCTCCAAAGCTGAGTACGCTTCGGTTAAGTCGTAACTTAAAACGATTATTAAAACTGCTAATGAAAGATATCTAAACATTTTCTTCCTTTTGCTTGTGTGTATTCTACGATTTGAAAAAAGAAAATTGATTAAAATCTTTAATTTTTTTCAAATATTTCTTACACAATATCCAATTACAAAGTGAACTTTTAACTATGTTGGCCCTAGCAAATCAACTTTGAATATCGCAAAATCGCGTAATGGGTTTAATCAGAGTGATATTTCAGTTTAAGACTTTGTCGATTAGTTTATTTATAGCAAAAAAAAAAAGAAAAAAAGAAAAAACAATCAACCAATAAATAAATTTAGTTGAAATTGAATCTTAAGTACTCTACTCTAGTCTACAAGTCTACAACAAGTCTTTGCGAAAATCTCTATCTTGTTCTGTGCTCCTTTTTCAATTGTTTGCTGACTTCAAATTTGATTTACACGTAGCTTCAAATTTTCTAATTCTGTATCCGACTTTTACGATAATTAAATGCACCTAAATCGGTTGAATATCGTAGTCAATAAATTGAATGTAAGCCGACAATGGATGTTACCGCGAGAATATGGAAATTAGTATAACTCGATTGAAGAACGTTTCCAATATATGTACAAAAACAAAACAATAACTTTGGGGTTTATTTGTTCGAATGAAAAAACATTTGTATTACAAATTGACATAGTCGTGTGATGACTTTCATCAACCGTTAAAGGAAAAAAAACCTTGAATCACCTGTGCATTTGATAAAAAATCTATAAAGGCATATTCTGCTGTCATATAACTTTAATAATATAGATTTTATATTTTAACACTTTGTATTGCTTAGAAGCGATAATGTAATTTTCATATATCTAATCTACAAGTATGAAATGTGAGTTGGACTGCAATCTTATCAGATATTCAATTGTTTCAACATTTAATGCATTCAAATGATAGGTGGCTTCAGAACACTAATTTAGTAAATGTGTTGAGAAATTTTCGCCACTAGATGGTGTTCGATATATCGTATATCGAGCAGATTGCTTCATACCGACGCGCGTTAAAAAGACGACAAATGTACAATTTTTATGCAGGATAGTAATCACGTATGGAAAATTTAGCTCTCGTTTTGTATTTGAACGAAAGCTGACTTCCAGCTACGCGATTATCATGGAGTTGTCTTTAATCAATTGAGTCAAAAACTGCGGAGTGATCACGTACAAAAATTTAGCTTTCGCTGCTGTATTCACCTGTTTTGCCAAAACGGGTTAATACACAAGCGTAAGTTAACTTTCACCTGAGTGACTACACACCTGTATTAGTACAAAAGGACATAACTGTAGAGTACTTTCCAGTTATAGCCTTCTTAACCGATTAATCCAAATCCTTTTATTACTCTCGCACTTAAGTGCCTGTGGATAATGTGTGTGGAAAGAGACACTTATTCAATCTCTTGTAGGTTGTATGTTAATATTTTCTACTTATTTTGAGCACACCTCCAACAACATTTTTGCCAACGTCAAGAATTATTTGCTTCAAATTTAAAGTAATATCAGCTCGGACTTTCAAATCGCCATTTCTCACTTGTCGCGGACGAATCACAACCATGTTCAGAATTCGATAAATGATCAATAGTGATCAAAATTTCAAGTTTCTGTCTTAATTTTGCCAACCGTTACAAAAACTGCGACAAATAAAGACACAAACCGATAGAAAAGATTTGCGCGCAGCTAATCAGATGCATGGATGTTTGAATGACCAAGTTTAATTTTCGATCGAAAAAACGGCACTACCTTGTTAATGATCTATCGAAAGTATCCCATGTTATTCTCCAGAGAATATGGTTTTACAGATATTGCAGAAAAATCAAACGAGTTGTGGTGCATCCCGCTTGCAATAATTGCTTATACTATCGTACGATTATATTCAAAAAATCAAATTCCAGTTATCTTTCGATCCTATCGTTTAAACCATTACATTTAAATTTTCCAAAAAATTTCTTAATCTTTAAATTGATACATTAGGAATTTTCTTAATCAGGAGTAGGTGGAAGTCAAAATACATGCGCGTTTATTTATATGTAGTCAGCTAAAGTAGTTTCAAAATAAATTAATGAAGCGTTAAGTTTGAAACATTGAATGTGGAATTCTCGCACTTCATCCATAATGCCTAGATGGTAGGACGATTGTTCAATGTTCGTTGTCTAATATTATTATAGTATGTAAATAAATTATAATAATAAATAAAGAAGATTTTTGATCACAATTTATGCAAATGTGGTTAGTAGTCATTATCAACAACCTTTTGGTTGCGTGTCGGTTTATTTTCAATATGTAAACAATCATTTGGTTGCGCAATACCATAATCAGCTGTAATTTAAAGAACGTTTTCGGATTAAAATTACAAAATTGAATTTGTGGTTAGAAGGCGGAAAAATTGAAAAGATATTAATAGAAAAAAAAACTAGTGAAAATTGCCCAAAAACTCAAGAAGAAAAATGTTTCGCAGTCGGAGTTGGTTTGATGGCGCTTGGAATAAACCTAAAAACCGTTTAAATACAACGGTATCTGAGAGTAATAGGGGTTTGCTGACAGAATCGTTAAGAAGTATAGCGGAAGTTTTAATATGGGGTGATCAACATGACAGTTCGGTTTTCGAGTAAGCAGCGCTTAATAACTCACTCTTTATAATTAGGTATTAATTATTTTCCTTTTTCCAGCTTTTTCCTGGAGAAAAATATGTTATCATACTTTTTGCATATAATGCGTCAACAAAGTGGAGGTTCCAGTTTTGTATGTGTTCAATTATTACAAACTTTGAATATTCTCTTCGAGAATATACGTAATGTAACTTCATTATGTAGGTTGAGGCTAATGCTATTATCGTCAGAAGTTCGGCTGCTTGGGAATTACATTCTAAAATTTTAAAATTTGCTCCATAATTTTCTAAAATTTCCTCGGCGGATGTTATTGCCGGTATGGGCGAACTGCTGACACTGTTTTCATCAGCATCATTGCTTGAAGGCTTGAAGGGGACCTCATAAATTGCGTGTACATACCCAAGACTACCGGGTATCTGTTTTTGGTAGCTGTTTAGGATCAAAAGTTTTAGCAAGTGCATTTACGGTAATAAAGCGATAATAAAATTGAAATTTGAACTCATAATGAATTGAAAACTTTGCAATTTTCCAGTGGTTGCTTAAAGCGGTGTCCCTCCAAGATTATATATGGCGGATGCAATTTTTTTGCTTGCTTTATGCAGTCTAAGCAGTGAGGTGTATCCATCATTCGGTAGACACATTATATAATCATAATACACTTATAGGTTTTACTTAATGTCTATTAAAAATCGATTTACTGCGTAATAAATTTGGTGAACGGTATAATACCCCTAGCAAACAAAAGCTTTTATTGCGAAAATTTTTATTCCTTGACGGTGCAGATAATCCACGATTTTAGAAATAACATCGAAGTCACATTAAGGCCGTAGCTGTTGACGATATCGTTCTTCATATATACATAGCGTACGTTTAAATTTTGTTGCTAACAAAAACAACTTCCAAGTTCTTCTACGCGATTACCGTCTTACATCGTTTAAAGAAATAAAATTCATCTGCGTTTCATCAAATGGCTCGGTCATATTGATCTGTGAATTACTTATTACTATTACTTTTTTTCTACTATACGAACGAAAGAAAAGTAAGTATTATTTCACACATCACTGTATAATTGTATGCCTTTGATTTGGGCTTATCATGTTTACATGTAATCAGCTGTTTACCTCTTTGTTCATTTAGTTTCTTTAATTGCGTCTTTTTTTATTGAAACAATTGTGCGCCTTCTTTGTACCATTTAATAAATAAAAAATATTTTGGTTTTTTCAATTTTTAATCTGCTTATAGAAAAAATTTCATTTTTATTTATTTATATTTCTTTTTTTGGCTACATTCGTTTGGATAAAGTATATTAAACTTGAATTATTGTGTTGAGTTGCGTTAATCTTTGTACGCGTTTTTAAGTAATTGGAAAAAATATTATTAGAACACAATGTAATACTAAATAAAACGCCGTTTTTACCGAATAACGTACTTTTTGAGGGAATAAAGTAAGAATAAAAAAAATTTACAATATTAAAATATGGTTTATATTGTTTAAATTGATTTGAATTTTCTGAGAGTAAAAATTACCGTACGCTCTATAAGCTATTGTTTTGTTCTTGGTATCTACAAAGAGTAAATGTAAACAATGTTAAAGCATTTACGGTCATAAAATGCTGAGCAAATCTATGAGTGAGTTAGATGTTTTTGAGTGTTGCCATGACAACGTTGTAAGTGGACGGTCGGAGATTACCGTTAATAAGAAAAGTTAAAAGCATTTTGCTCTTAGGGTGGAATACGAAGGAAATATGAATAAATTATTTGTGAAACACGTGTCGCGAATATATATTAGATGACTTTGGTAATTATATAAACGAACAGATTATATAAAAACAGATTTAGGAATTTTTGTTTCTTAAACTTTTTTTTCTTAGTATTAGATAAGAGCAAGCTGTATATTGCCGAATTCAATTTTTGTTTCTAAACAAAAAAATCGATGAGTCAAACCTCTCAGTACGACTTTCAGAATGCCAGCAATAGACAACAAAAGAAAGCAGGAAGGCAAAAGAACACAAGAATTTTATACATAATTAATACACATATACATATATAAATATATATATATATATATATATATATACATATATATATGATATTAGAAGGGTATTTTCAAGGATAGTGACTCTACTACATTTTTATCTTTATTAGTAGAAACGAACCCATAACTTTAATAATTCCAAGATAGCTTTGGGAGTTGTTTCCTTAGTCGCTTGCAAATGTACCAAACTTTTGGTCAAAGTCTGCTGTACATTGTAATCTATTTTAATACCCGCCAATGAAGACATAGATAATATTTGAAAAGTAGCTTGGCAGGCAAATGACAGTATCTCTTTGCGAAGATATATATATATATATATATTTATGTGGTCCCGGGTGCTTTTATTGACGCATCACAAATACAATGAAAGACCTAATATATTTTAAAAAGACTGTGGATGTAAACATTTTGCTAAAAGATTCTTAATACCCAGGTGGAAATTTTAGTGAATATACATACATACATATTGATCAATACCAAATTATAAACTGATTTCACTATGTCCATCTATCTATCCGTCCGCACGTCCGTCTGCCCGCTGCCTACAGTGAACGTACTCTCGATAGAATAAATACCACTAGATAGTTCTAGTGTTTTACCTGTTATAACCACATTTGATTTCACACACATTCATTCTTTTGCATTTCTGTCTATGATTTAACAAGCAATCTGAAGTTCTAGCTCTTAGTTAAACTTAAAATTTTGAAATTAAAAATTTTCCAGACAATGAAACATAATAACAATGTTTTGCTTTTATTAAATTTTGTAGACATTTATTTAGTAATTTTTCGTTAATTTTTTACTATATTCTTTTTTTTTCTTAATTTTCCTTCATCTTACATTTGCTTCATAAATCTTTCTTTATTCCTTCTATAAATATAATCTCCTTTAATTTCTTTTATTATATTTTAAACACAATATTTTAAATACATTAAATGGTAATACGGTTGAAGAATTCATTTTAAATATAATATATATGTATATATATATAAAAAAAAAATTTTATATAATAAATGATTCTTATCAAAAAAAAAAAACTTATATATGTTGAAACAAAACTAAATATTAGAAGCAAAGGAAATTTAGTTTGGACCGTACTTTTTAATACCCATCACTAGTATGTGAAATGCACTTGATTGCTAGAGAAAAGAAAGACCGTTTCTTTCGCTATGTCGTATAACTTAGTGGCACTTAGAAGGTGCGCTTTATTTACTCAAGTTTTCTTTTTTCTAATAGTGAACGAATCCTTAATCCGGTTAAGGGAGTTTTTAAATATACTGCAGAGATTTTTTTCGAGAGAGCGAGTTAGAAAGAGGGAGAGAGAGAGACATGTAATTTGAAATCGCGAAAGTTTGAGGCCATTACTTAGTAAAAGGATAGAGTGAGTTATGGCGAGTTTCATGGACTGATGATTTAATTTTTTTCAAAAATTTTGATGCTCTGAGTACAATTTCAGAAGCCAGACGCAGCGAAATAGTATTCGCTGTTCACTCTGACTGGGTATTTACAAAATTCATCAAATCCTTGAATGACTGTAAGAAAAAAGTAAACAACGTCCAGTTCTTCTAGATGTTTGATTCGATTTGATCAGAGTAGATTTGGGTGACAGTAGATTGTTTCGATTGGTCTGGCAAATGTGTATCCAATTATCTTTAAACATTTGTATTGCGTGTTTCATATGAAATTTCTACCTATTAAACCACAACTGATTGATGAATAATTATGTTATGCTTTTAATCTCGTCGCACCGCAGTCATAGAATACCTGCTTAGGCGTCTCAACAAAGGGTATAAAATATTGCTAAAGTGCTGTGGAAAGCAATATTGTCTTGTTCATATTTTTGGTTTCAAATTGTTTGTCTTTTCTTTTCATTTACTCTATATGAACTTACAACGCCTTACTTACACTTGCTGCGTAAAATTCTCTGACAAAAAAAATTATGTGCGGTCGCACCTGTTTGTTAGCTTCTATCTATTAAAGTTGCTTTTAATTGTTGCATTTTTCGATATTATTCCACGTAATTTGGGACTTTAGAACAAAATGAAATATTAAAGGCCTGCAGGTATAAAACGAGTAAATTTCACTTTCATGTATATTGATATATTGAATTGATATACTAAAAATTCTATCAATTCCAATAGGGATATTTCGTCAAATAAGAATGACAATAACTATGTAATGATGCGGATGTTGAAAAATCAAGCGATGAAAAGATAATTGAAAATGTTCGGGAGTAAAAGCATTTCCTCTATAGTTTATATTCAAATAAATAAATAAATAAAATATTTGAAAATGCTTCAACATCTTAGTGGTTGTTAATTTAGCCTTTTATAACTTCTAACTATGTTTTTCGGTGCTTTTATTCATTTATTCTCATTTAACAGAATTGTTGCGGTGCTTTTCCACCATTTACTGAAAGCAACTCTGTTCTCCCTCTATTCACAACAAATGGTACTTTTTTTTTATAAACCATGTAAAGGAAAAAACCACCTAACGGCTTTTAGCGAAAAATCAAGGCCATTTCACGAGTGCGAAAAGAAGTTTGACAAAGTTAAAAATTCCGAAAAAAAAATTAAGAAAAGTAATTAAAAAGTTTAAAAATTAGAAGAAGTTTGTGAAAAATTTACATATAATTAAATTGAAGAACAATTATTATCTGTGGCTTAAGCTACCAAAAATCGTTCAAGTGGTGGGTATAAAAAAAATAGTAAAAAAATAAATAAATAAATAAAAATAAAATAGTGATATTAAATGTTAATTCATTTTAATTAATTGATTAATACATATAAAAATACATACTGTAACTTATTTCTGAAGAATATTTACTTTTTATCTTAGTGTGCGTTTACATTTTCAGTTGTTTTGTTTTCTATTTTCTTTGTTTTTCTGTATATTAATGTGAAATTTCATTTCAATTCATTTTTTGAATTAAATATTTTCACTTTTTATTTTTCATTTAATAAATATGGCATTTTTTTTTTTATGCATAATATTTAAATGTGGAATAATTACGATTTTCTTTGCAGTTTTTATCTTTTTAAATATGTTTAACGTTTCTTTGAAATTTTCATTTTATTTTGTATTTAAATTTAAAATTTTTTTTACTTATTTAAGTAATTTTGTTTTTGTGGGAAGTTGCTTAATATTGTTTTCTGCGTTTTATTGATTTCCGTTTTGTACCTAGAGGATCGTATGTACTTTAGTTTACTTTGTTTTCTTCTCTTATGATTATGCTGTTTTTTTTTTATGTTTGAAGGTAGGCGGTTAAGGAAGAAATGGAAAAGGAGAACATTGGAAAAAATATTGAGCCTAATAATTCTCAAATATCAATATAATCCATTTATAGATGCCATCCCTTCGAGTGCTGGCACCTGAACAAAAATCATTAATGTTTGAAAGAATGGATTCAATGAATAAAATAAATATCAGTCAAATTATATATTAGTTTGGGGAAAATATATTGAGAAATTTTCATTACTAGCCTGTGTTCGGCGCCGTATATGTAGGAACACTAACCAGGTTGCATCATATATAGAAATTTTGCTGACGCACTTTAGCTTTGAAAGATATGTGAATATGTAAAAAATCTATAAATTATTTTGACTTGAAGAAAGACAATTTAGTTTATTTTTTTCTTTTTTGCATTTATCAGCGCAGGATGAAGTTGCTCTAGTTTTGCCATTTCGTTCATAGGACACAGTTGCATGCTTTAAAACTTGTGTTAGGTAAACCTTGATTTGGTTAGTTTAAAATTTTGAATTTTACTTTTCTATGTGCATACTTCTGTCCTTCCATATGTCTGCTCCTGAAGATGTTCTTAACATGGCAAGCGGTAGTCAAGAGTTGGCAATCTATAGCAGGTTGTGGAATTTCACACTAAAAGTTTTTAGGTTAGGTTTAGGCCTTTAATATAAATCGTGTTCGATCGACCAACTGATGCAGTTATGATTAACAAATCATCCAAACGATCAGGCAACAACGCAAACCAGTTTTAAGAGACTGAATTTAAAACTATCATCGTCTTAAGAGTACTTTGTTATCCTTTTTTTTTTGATTACTTTTCAAATGTAAAACGACTGAAAACGTTAGGGCAATGGCGATTATTAAATGTCCTGCATTTGTTTGCGTAAGGCTTTATGTATCTATCTTCGCCATAGGATATCAAAAATTATACTTTGTTGTCCCCTAAAGGCGTGCCAACTATTGTCGTACCGTCCGGTGAACACACGTTATCTCTTAATGTAGCGGGATGTTTTCCGGTTACCATAACAGTTTTTGCAGCACCCGTGACTACTCATACAGCAAATTGTGAGCCCATTGTCGGGAAACACAATTTTTCACAGCACCAGCTAAAGTCTCAATAATTGCGCAAATATATTCTGGACCACAACCGGATCAACCGGAAACTGCATCTCTTATAGATTCTGGTATATGTTAAGCAACGCCTAACGAATTGAACATGATATGAACTTTTTCTAAATCTTGCTTCTCACTTATAACGCTCTTCAGTAAGATGAGGAGCAAACAAACAAACGAAAGTTTGCGCGGAGAGAGGAGTGGAAAGCATTATTCTCTCGCAAACTTATTGTAGTGAGTTAATATGTTGAACGAATAGTTTGTATCATGAAATAGTACCAATTTATTTTTGTTATCATCCAAAGAACGTTTATATGGACAAGGTTTCCAAAAACTGATACTCCACCCCGTACATATTTTCCACTTTCCACAAACTTTATCATGAAAACGACTTTTGAAAAATTAGTCGTGCAGAGAGGTCATAAAAAGGGCCCAACGTAATCTATATTCAATAGCTTTCTTTCCTAGGTCAAAGAGATCCACTAAGGTGATACTCATTAACTTTATAGGTCAAAAATTTTAATCTCTAAAGTGGGTTAACAAACAATAAATAGCAAAAACACATGTCAGATGTACGGATGGACAGACAGCCTTAAATCGATTAAAAAGCGCACACAGGTAAATTGTTGCAAAACCTGCCAGACATGAAAAATATTAGAAGTAATCTAAAAGGAGTTGATTTGAATACTAGAACCAACTTTACTCAATTCCAAATATCTGTATATTACGAGCTTACGAGGAATTTTTTTAAATCTAAAGGAATCTTCAAGAGTTGTAATCTCAGCATCTAAGCAATCTTTGCTTTATAAGCGATCTGTAAGCATTCATGCATCTGGTCATATTACAAACGGAAACGGAATGAGAAACTTTGCTTAAGTCCATCCTTCGATAGTGATTTTTTATAAAGAACTAAACGAAATTTCAGCTCTGTTAGCCTGTGTTTGGGGTCCCTTGGTATCCCTGGAAACAAAAATCCATATGGGTTGTGTAACTTTTTCCATTGAGTATTTCAGAATGTTCCAAAGAGAATAATAACAAAAATTAGGGTGAAATATACATTTACCGCGGATATGACTATCATTCATATCTATTCTAAGTTGGGTGAAAAACGTTCAATGTAATGAAAATAATTTTAAAAATTAAATTACTTAATGATGGCTTTTCTTCACGTCGTTCGCAATTACATCGTTGAAGAATCGATAATTCAAACTTAAGTCTTAAAATAGTTTGAGTTTTGTTTGATCAAGTTCTTAACAATAATTCTTAACACTTATAACCTGTGAAGGTAAGGTGTACATATGCATAACAAGAGCTCTATACACATAAAATGTTTTTTCTTTTTGTTTTTTATTTATTCATTATTAATGATTTAACATTGAATATGAAACGTTTACAATATACATACGCACGTATAGACGTATGTAACCATGGGTTAAGAGGCTAATGTCTACTGTGTGTAAATCGTTGAATAGATATGCAATTTGTGTATGTGTATGTATGTTTGTATGTATGTATCAGTGTGCATGTGTGTATATATGCGTACATTAACATTTGAATATTATACACAAAAACACATCTACAGTTTCGATTTTCATTTTTATCATAAACAAATTTAATGAATTTCTTCGCTTTTTTTTTTTGCTTCTTATTCATCAAATGACACTATATATTATTTTTATATGAGTGTGTTTTGCATAAAAAATATTTCGTTTCTTTTTCTTTTCAGTTTATAACTAAATGTACAATTTAATAATATGCTTTTGCGTTTTTTTTTTTTATATTTTCATTACTTAATAAAAATTTATTTAAACAATTCCTTGGCGCGAGTTTTTTTTTTTTTTTAATTTAAATATATTGGAAAAATAATAGTACAAATATATTGAAAGCTTAAGGAAAACGCTGTTTAATTTTTTTTTTTAATTGTTTGTGAAGCAAACTTTATTATTAAAAAAAAAATCAAAACATATATTTCTAATTTGATAAAGTTAAAAAAGAATCTCTTCATATATGAAAAAAACGGTATGACTAGATTTAGGAGGACTGTTGACGTTTAATATTTTTTTTTTTTTTTTTTTTTTTTTAATAAAGTGCAGTTTTGAAGCAATTTTATGTTAAGGATTTTTTTTCCCAATTTGCTTTATATGGATAGATTTGTTAAAAAATTACAGCTTTTCTCGAAAAAAAAATACTGCTTTTCTTATAGTTTTCAACTAGTTTTGTGCTTTCATTTCCCGTTCTTTTAGTTTATCATCAGTTAACTGATAAGGTTTTCTAGAAAAAATAATAAATTTTCATTAGTGATGTCCTGACCTTGATGTCCAATATTACAAGGGAACCGTAACATCCGTTATAATATAAATTATTTCTTTTGGATTTCCCTACTGATGTGATGTGATGTATTCCGGTACACGTCCGGGATAAAATTTATAAATATTTGACGATATATACCAGTGCTCTCACTAAGCAGTCGCCTAATCAGAGCATAGGAATACGCTAAGTTTGTCATACGGTTTAGAAAATACAATTCTACACAATGGGTATATTCGCTTCAGGCACCATTATCCATAGATAATTTTGATAGCAGATATTCTAAATTATTTAGATTGAAAGCTAATTAATATGTCTTTTTTATATATATTTTTAAGTGCACAGAAGAGCTTTGCAAGGCAACTCCCCTAACACAGCTACAGCGCTGGAGGAACCCCTTGAGAAATCAAGTAAAAACACTATAGTTGGGAAAGGTCGCTCATTAAATACGTGACACAACTTCGGTTTATTACTTTATTTCTTCATTATATTTCTTTCTGCCATATCTTCTTTCACATCTTCACCTATTTTGGGAATAAAATACGCATTGTATGTCCCAAAAATAGACTTGCTTGGTCCCAATTCTCAATAGACATGAGATTCTATGTCATATTATTTCAGAATGAAATTTAAAAAACCAGACCTTTTTGTCCTACACTTTTCCGCATTATTTTTCAAGAGAAAGCTTTTATAGGAGCGGATCTGAAAAAAATCGACCGACCTAATCCGAATTTAGTACAGTTAATTATTACAACAAATAAGCATTTACTTTTCAGTCGAACCCGTTTGCCATTAAAAAGCCTACTTTCCGTACCAATGGTTATATAAGAAGACATATTAAAAGATTGTCCTATCTAATCCGAATATTTCACAACTATTGAGAATGTCTCTTCTACTACTACTCGCCGATTTATTTCGACAAAATGTTAAAATTTTCAATTTTTTTTTTTTACAACAACTTTATCAAAACAAAGAGAGAGAAAGAGAGCCGTAAAAGCGGACGATCGGTTCCATCCTTGGGCCAAAGCACCTCAGTGTATCTGTAGTTCGAACACAAAAATATATCGACAGATGATTCTCCGAGTCTCAAATTAGTTCCCCGCGTAAATTCAATATGTCCTGCATTCCAATATTAAAAAATTACAAGTTTATGCTATAAACAGCTTCAGTTTGGGAAAGATGTTTACACACGAAAGGGCTCTCATGGCATAATAAAAAATAAGTTCAACTAAAATTGTCCATATATCCTCATACATCGTCCACATGCAATTCGATTTCTCACTTTGGCAATATAGCAGGGCAAAAGAAGAATTATAAGTTCACCCTCACCACTGCCGATTGCTAAAGCAGCTTTAAGAGATTTCTAAGGACGTGGGGAAGACCGGACTAAAAATGGTGTTTATCCAACTTTTGACGTGAGGACAATAAGCAAAACGTATATTGCTGAATATTTAAGATATTCTGCAAAGAGAGAGGTAATAGTTCCCGGAATTGAAGACCAACTTGCATCACATTGCTTTTGTTAGTTAATCGTACTGAGTGGTTTTGAACCTTGGACGAAAGTACAAGTAACAACACAATTGAAGCAATTTTCAGTACGAGCCAACTCGAAAAATTGCTTTAAGCTACACTGAAAAAAATGTGAAAAAACTTTCTGTTTAAGCCACGATTAACTCTGGTATATGTAGGGTGCACGGAGTAATTTCTTTAATAAATTATTAATTATTTTCAAATACTCACTTATATGAATTTTATTGATTTTTCTGCCACACATTGTGGCTCCCTTTTAACATCGTTGTTTTTTGTATGTTTGAATCATGAAATCATTAAAATTTTCTTCGCTTTTCTGCAACACAACCACACTTTTTTTACTTTGCTTTCCTTCCGTTATTCGTCCCGTGCTTGTTTGTTTTAATGTGAACTTTTAATTGCATAATTGGTTTTTGCAAAGCGCCCTCTCTCTCTCTCTCCCTTTCTTACATAACCTCACAAATTTTTTTTCGATTTTGTATATTTTTTTTTCTGCGCTTTGCGATTTTCTTAAAAGTAGTTTCAATTGTTAAACAACATTTTCATTGTTATGGAAACGCGGTTGGTTAGTTAGTTGGAAGGCCCGGCCACGTTGCATAGTGTTCGTGATGTATAGATATGACTTGTTTTTTTGTTCTTTGTAAAATTCAAAATTATTGAAATGCCGCCTTCCGTTCAACTGACTGAGCATTTCCAATCCCGGCTTTGTTAGCGTTGTCCTCCAAATAACTCCAATTCCATATAACAATCATTGGCAAAAGCAAAGTTACGCATTCTATTAATGCTTTCCACTCACATTTGCCGATAAGGGGAATGCATTTTCAACCACTGCAGCACCAACGAAGGTCCACCGGCCTGTATTTCGGGTGGTATAGTACTTAATGGGCACTTTTCAATATTTAAATACTTTAAATTCTGACATAAAGCCAATTCATGCGGCAATCTCTCGAGACATGGATTTTGATTGATATATAGATTCTCAAGATTCTCCAGTGAACCGATTTCTTCAGGTAAAAATTGTAAATTATTTTCACTGACCGATAAATAGGTCAAATTACTTAAATGTCCTATACTGCGTGGCAGCATTTGTATCTGATTCGTTTGCAAGATGAGTCTCTTCAACTCGTGCAGTAAACCAATCTCATTGGGTAAAATCTCTATGCGATTCTCTTCCAAATCTAAAATTCGTAATTTACGCAATTGTCCTATACTATTAGGTATCTTCTTGAGCATATTATTGGAGAGTATCAGAATCTCAAGATTTTGTAAATTCATGATATCGTCCGGCAACTTTTGCAGGGCATTCGTGGCCAAATTTAATTCCACCATATTCACCCAAGTGCCCACATCTAAAGGCAAAGCAGTGAGGGCATTCTCTTTCATATTCAATTTAGTTAAATCTTTGGCACGTGAAAATATTCCATACGGGATCTTATCAATACGATTGTGCTCGAGATTTATGCTATAGACATTGGTGAACTGTGCTGGCCCGCCGGTTGGGAAACTGGCGAATGCATTACGTGAAAGAGTTATGGTAGTCAGGGCACTTAACGCTGCCAACAAACCATCGGGCAGTTGTGTAATGCCATTGCCCTCCACATTAAATTCATCCATACTTTTACAATTCTTCAAACTTGACGGTATGTTAGTTAAGCGGTTATAACGTAAGCCCAAGCGCACCAAATTTGTTAAGTTTCCTATATTCTCGGGTATATCTAGCAGTTCGTTATGCTGCAAATCCAATGAACTTAAATTAACGCAATTGCAAATTTCCGCTGGCAAGTGTTCCAAATGATTATGACTAATGTCTAAAGTGGTTAGATTAACCAGAGCACCAATCGCTGGACCGAGTTCGCGTATTTTATTTTCCCGCAAACTTAACATCGTTAAATTGGTAAGATTACGTATATCGGGAGCCATGGCGATAATGCGATTAAATCTCAAATACAAAGTTGTTAGCGAGCGTAACTTATAGATGACGGGCGGTATTTCGGCGAGTTTATTATGTCTCAAATCTAAGACTTTTAGTAATTTGCAATTTTGCAGAGTATCGGGTAGAGAAATTAACGAGTTTTCATTTAAAGCCAAAGTCTTCAAATTAACTAAATAACCAATTTCAGAAGGCAGTTGACCAATTTTATTGCTGTACAAATACAATTCAGTGAGATGTACGCAATCCTTAACAGCCGGTGGTATAACGGTAATAGAAGATTTACTTAAATCCAAACGTTTAATGCCTACGATAGAAGAGTTTAGTGCGTAAGCGCTTATCGTCTAAAGAGTGGCCTTGAAAAAATATTAAAAGCACTTTACTTACCTTCATCCCGGCAACGTTGCAAAGCCTTTATTACATCCTGATCGGCTTGTATGGGTTTGGTTTTTTTAGTAGTTGGCTTAGGTTTATTGGATTCGGGGTGTTTAACCGTCACCACCTTTGGTCGGGTTGTTTCCGGTGGCATGTCGTTATTATTGCTCGAACCGCTGTTAATTCTTTGCTGTTGCTGTTGTTGTTGCTGCTGGCGCTGCTGCGGTTGTTGTGGCTGAGATGAGTATTGATGATCGGTCGAACTAGAGCAGGGCACTGTAAATGCGGTTGTTCCGAAACAATGAGTGGTTAAGCCAACAGCACTAGCTGCACTATTTCTTGGCTGTTCGAAACCACCCGTTCGGCTACCCTCACGGCCGGTTCTTTGTTGAGCTTGGGCGTCGTCGGATGATGTCGATGATGCTGTTGCACCCACCGATGAACATAAGTTCATAATTTTTCCCAGTTTAAAATCTGGTATAGACACTTTGCTGCCCAAAATGTATGTTTTCGAGGTCTAAATTTGGCACGAAAAAAAATGTACTTCTCAGCAAAGCTTTTTGACGGATATTTCTTAAAGCAAAGCAAAGCAAAGCCTTTGGGAGATTCAATTACCTGCAAAGAGTTGTAGGAGAGAACAAATTTTTAAACTTTATAAACGTTATAACTTGTAATGGTTGCAAAGCAGCCTAAGCAAATCTGTACAAAAGGTCTAGTTATCAATACGTTCGTTATCAACCTTAGGTTAAACTAATTGCAAGATTTTAGAAAAATCCGCCTGAGTGGCCGTGTAGACAAAGAATCTTAGCTAACAACTCAATGATCGTGGGTTCAAATCTTAACACTTAGCCGACCGACTGGGTAGATCTACCCTTTTACCCAAAAAGTTTTTTTTTTGATAGGATTATTCACAATTTATTTTTGGCAATACTTTCGACTGTTCAACTAGAAATTCTTTTTGTTCTTTTGACTTTCCCTTCCACAAATATTCTATGTATGACTTTATTTTTAATCCGTTAACCTGTTTTTCGCTAATAAGTATAATAAATTTTTAATTTCAAATTCTGTGTAAGAATTATGTAAATCGCTACCGTAGGATAAAATTGATTACGTAAATAATAATCGGAGGTTTTTGCTTTCAGATAGCGAATTTCAGCCCGTGATACCACAAAAAAATGCGCGGTGGAAACTGTCCAGGTAGTGGTTCTTTGACACAAATCACGTATTATCGGGCAGGTATAATGCCAGTAAGGCCACCTCTTGGAAACTTCCTTAGTGAACACTCCCACGTATATACCTAATTAAAGCAACCCACGCCTGCACGAACCCATATTTTCTTGATTCGCGTTGACGAAAGTAGAGAAAGAAAATTAGCTGAATAAATTGGATGTCGTACCTAAAACAACTGATGAGAAACCGGATTAAGAGCTCTCGTAATTATATTGAAATGTCACCACAAAACATATTAATACATCATTTGTCCTTTACTTGCACACGAAGTTTGCAATTTGTTGATAACATATCTAAAATTCAGCTATTTATTCAGCCAACTGGTGATAATTTTACTTCTTCGTGCCGAGTGAGCAATTGATCTCGACTAACAATGCGATAGGCGTGGGTTCAAAACTAAAAGTGAATAAAACCGAAAGCCTTAGATTCTACACAATTAACAAGTAGAAAGTTATATTCGGCGGGGGCCAAGTCTCGCATACCCATGACAATGCTATCCGCATTCTACTCTCCAAGTTCTTTTATTTGATACTCATTTCGCTGGTATTATAATTTTGTGCAGGCATGGCCTGCATCTAGAGAGTATACCTTTTCGTAGTGTGGAAAATTTCAGGATTCTAACTCTAATAATGTCCGAGTAACGATCCAAAATCCAAAAAATTTTGCCAAAAAAAACAGAGTTGCGTTCAGCTTACGCTCGACTGCGCGTTTCTGCTCTGACTATTTTGGCCTATTTTCAATAACAACCTGCGTGCAGAAACTTTGAACGTTTCTACCAAATTTGAAATCGATCTCTTCATTTTGGCGACCAGCAGGCTGCTAAAAACACACACCACACACATGGACAGACATGGCTAAATCAATTTAGAATTTCACGTTGATCAAGAATATATATACTTTATAGAGTCTCTGAAGCTTCCTTTTGGATGTTACATACACTATGGAAAAAAACAGAATGGGTATACTTCCATCTTAGAGTGGTGGGTATAATAATAATAATAATAATATTATAACACTTCAAGTACTGTTACAATAAAGTTTTAAATTTGCGTCGTTGGTTTTGTTTGTTAAATTTCGACTTGATTCACTTTGCTTCTTATTCTAGATATATCCACATCTAGTTATACTTAACATATGTTTATATGTGTAAATATAAAATATATTCCAGCAGAGTAATTTACATGAATTGTTATTAATGTAAAAGAGAGTGCAACTGTTTACAGCGAGTTAAATATAGAATCAAGCGTAGTCGATATTTCAGTTGGCGAAGATTTTCCCACAAATGTATGTAAATCCTTTTTGTGTTAACACTCTTATTCTTCCTCTTTTTAGAAATTCACTCTTAGTACATTTAAACAATATATTTAAAATGCGTCACACAGTGATAGTGATAATGCCGTTTGTCACCCGGCTCACTAAGTATTTATGTACGTTGTGCACGTCATTAGATACTAAAAATGCGTTTATTTGCTTACTACTGGTTTACAAAGCGAGAAGGGCAATAATATCAAAGTCCAAACGAGAAGCGTTCACTAACACCCTTTTACGTACACACAACCATCCATCCATTCAACAGATAGATAGATAGCATTGCCAGCCAGCCACCCAGCCAACCAATGCTTTTAAAGGAGAACGCATGTAAATATACGTAGATGTACGTTTGTGCGAGTTTATGCCCACATGTCTATCTGTCTATCTATCTATCCATGCGTATATGTATGAATAGGAATATTTCACTGCAGCAGCATTTAGTATCAGTATCAGTAGTAAAATTATCACTATATACGCTATGCAATATACACTACACATATATAGTTTGTGTCGAAGTGGCGATACTTGTGAGTTCTCCATAGTACTCACAATAAGTGATTATTAAGTGCATGCATATAATGTTAATGTTTGCGTATTCAATTGTTTACCAAAATGGCAGAAGGAGGACATCCATCCATATTCTACTTTATTTCAATTCATGTCTTCGTGTTTTTTCCCTTCTTTTTTTTTTTTTTGGTTTTTTATTGAAAGGTATTAAAAAACTGTGACGACAATAATTCATGCTGCTGACGCAGTTATTATTATTACTGTAATGGGCCTCGATTTGCTTACTACTATGAATCAAAGTAATTTAGTAGCAATCAGTCGCTTATTACAGAAAGCCAAGTATAGTAACTCGTTAGGTAATAGAGTTAAATTATATAAAAAAAAAATTAAATAGTTTTTTCTCACACTACATAACTTTTTGAATACATCAGTAACGTTTGCTAAAACGGTAACCTTCTGACCAATATATGTGCACATCTATATAAAAAGACCGGTTTCCTTGAAAACACCATTTCAAAGGGGCTTTGTAAAGTTATAAACTAATTATGTTATTGTTGTTGTTGTTGTTGTTGCTCGATACTCCCTCTCTGTTTGTTTCAATTTCCTTTCTTTTCTTGCCTTAATTATATGTGCACATACATATATATATGCATGTGATATGACCATGTTTCTTAAGTCAAATGGCCTTAAATTAATTGCATTTTCCGCTTAATGAAGCGTAAGTGCAGTAAGACTGTCCATTGACTTGTCCATTGACTTAAATTTCATTACTAACTGCTTTCGTGTTTGTTGTAAATCAATAATTTTTCTTATAGCGATGTCTTTAGTTAAATATGTTCATATATAATTATTAAAGCGTTACGGGCAACATTAAGGGCAACCTTATTAAAGAACTTTCGTTTTTTTTTTTTTTTTTTTTCATTGCCAACGCCTTAGGATTAATTGCGGATAATGATGCCTTGTGTGTCGTCTACTTTGTTTCCGGGGCTGATGTTTGCTTCTTCTTTTAATGCATCACATCAATTCTTTAAGAGCATTTACAAAGAAGCAAAAGACTCATTGTTGTTTTTCTGCCAGTCATCATTACTTCCGGAGAAGTAAACATAGAATATCTTCAGAGAAGTGTTTTCTATGCAAGACTTGCTCTGGACCTTCTTTTGACTGTGGACTTGAAAACAAAGACTTCTTACCATAAACAATTTCTTAATAAATGAAAAATTCCACATTTGTTGAACCATGTACGTCCGTCTTCCATGAATATTGGATATAAAGCTCCCTACAGAATTTGATTAATCTGAACATGTCCTGAATTTTACTTAAGCTAACTATTTTCCTAATCAACATTAGATTTCGGCTTAGATGTAGCCATGTCCTGGGCATTCAGAAAGGTTGATTGCGAATCAATTTACCTCGCTTGGCTAATGTGAGATGCTCAGGTATTTTTCCCATGCACACCTGCGTGTTGGAGCTGTTTTTCTTTTGCATCTATTTTCGATTAACATTGGATCTTGAATCTGTTCACATACATCTGTCTGTCTGTCGCTCCGAAGCATCAGTTTGCAAAGTTTGCTGAGAGACGCAGTTATTTTTACCACGTACTATATAAACTATATAAAAATTCCTTGAAGGAAACATGGTCGAGTTCTACGTTAGATTGCGGACGTGTTCGGTTATGCCTATCTCTGCGTCGTAAAGTTTAACTGTGAACTAGCCTTCGAATTTCCCATAAATTAAATATTTTTCTCGGTTAGCGTAAAATTCCGAGTTCTATCTTTCATATCCGCCTGTCTGTTCGAAAACATTGCCAAAAACCATCATATAGAGAAACATTGATGTAAATCTATTGTTGATTGGCTTTGATTCCTGCACTTGTTTTCTCACATATTCCTCTTATGGCTATGAGTACGCGCAAAGTGATTCGCTGAATTATAAGCCCGTTCAGGATAGGCGAGATATTATCAATTATTTTAATTATATTTCTTTATCTAACCTCACCATTGACTACAAGTAAACTACTAATACATGTGCATCTAGTTTGGAACACAATATTTCTGAAATTTTTTAATTTCATTATTGATATTATGATGGTTTTTCAATCTGCAGGCCATCCAGGTACGTTTTCAGACTTATTTATAACTTATTTAATATTCTCATCTTTTTCTTCTTCTTTTTTTTAATACATATCTCAATAATTCCTATGAATTACTAAAAATTCGTAGAAATTATCAGAATTTTGCTGGCATGAAAATATTTTGATTTCCACGAATTTTACAAATTGCATTCACTCTTGGTCGCATTTTCGATGCCCGTCAGTTTGAGAACATGTATACAAACCACATAGTTGGTAGGCAGCTAAGGCTCACCTTGCTTAAATTTATTGAAATTTCAATATTTCTATTTTCTGATCGATCTGTGCACTTGCATTAATCAATATAATAATCTATGCATTTCAATTAATTAAAGTCGTATAAATTTCAATTTTCTTATACATTGTCAGAAACTATGAGATAAGGAGTCAAGTTACTAACTTCAAATTGGGGGTTCAAGGTTTAAAAAATTGAGTAACACTTGGCGGACATCGCCAAGAGCTATAAACGCTAAAGCCAACGTACATCGTAGCACTTAGTGGCAACTAAAAAAGGTAGAAAAAGTTTTTAAAAAAAATTGTATTATCATGGGATCGGTTTGCGTATCAAGACACCTATTAAACCATCTAACACGTTGTAATTATATCTGCATTCCTTCAGAGATTTTACTCACATAAAAAGTGATGTATAAGTGAAAATTGACTTCCAAACCCAGAGTCAATAAGCAATTCTCGAGGCACTCAAAAAAAGACAAAAAAAAAAGAAGGAAAAATGCTATTTCCAACCCATTCGAGCAGATATCGCTCGAGAATTTTTCAGTTTTTTTCAGAACGATTTAACATTTCAGTGTAGAACTGTCAGGTCGAATTGATTATCGACGTGTTTAAAGATCATATTTGCTCTGTGGAGCGCAACTAACAAATTTTACTGCTTTGCTAATTCTAACAATAAATCGTTAGCAGACGAATGGACAGATCGATGAGATCGCGAACTAGTAGACATACAGGAAGGCAGATATCTTAGAAGTGTTTATGGGGCCGTTTCCGGTAGTACACGCATGATAATAGTCAGTAAACAAGATCTTAATGCCTTATTACACAAGAAAATGAATTGCGAAAGCAGATGTTATCATAATCCGTATAAATATTTTAAGCCTTATCACTGTAACGACAAAAATAACAATAAATGCTCAAAAAAAAATACATTTTCTTGACTCGAAGGTTTTTCCAAAAAAAAAAAAACCAAACGAAACAAAAACATTACGCTCGAAATTTAAAAATACTTTTCTTTTCTATACCAAACTTAATACACATTTAATGGCAAGGCATTTTGAACGAATATTTGAAGATGTGTAAACGTGTGAAATATATAAAAGTGCACATATAATAAATACGATATGCATATGTAAGGAAATTTATTATATTAAAGTTTAGGCGAGAAATTCTCTGCTCGATAACAGTGCTAAAGAAATCGAATCCAAAAATTTTATAAGTTTTTCTCTTAGAAAATTTCAATTAATATTAATTGATACGATTCGAAAAGAGAAAGTGATGGATGGACATCCACCAATTAGTGATGATAGCATGATGAATGCATTCTTCCTACGCTTGGCTATCGTTCGTAAATTGTTAATCGAATCATGCATTTGTGTTCGTGACTGTGTTAAATGTTTTGATTATTTTTGGCCATAATTGAAGCAATATTACGCTTATATTCCAGCGCGATTTTTCACTATAAAATATATATACTGATACATATATATACGATTTTTAAATTTTATCAATTCTGAAAATACATAAAATTGGCATTGGATAAATGAGTTTAATTAAATGATATCGTCCCTTTTTTCTGCTTTTCCTCTCCCTCTCCCTACTTCTAGTCTTATATGAAAATTGAAGTGCATTCTGTCAATGAGTCAGCCATCTCTACGTCCTATGTGAATGAATATTCACCGAAAAGAAATGCAGTTATTAAGAGTTGTCCGATTATCAAAGAATTTGCTACGAATGGGCTGACATGTGGTGGCGAAAACGAGCAGTGGGATCCCCACACCTTTCGTACTTCTAGAAGAAGTGCAATAGTCATTAGCGGGTAGGCTTCGGATACAGGCGTCATGAATACCTAATTGGGAGCAACAAAAAAAAAGGACCAGCTTTACCCAAAGGCAGAGGCGTACAAGAATTTTCGAGCTTTTACCAAAGAGCACTCAATTGCTCCTTGATCGAGATAATTGCAACAACAATAGTTTGGTTCTGTAACGCATTCGTATCATTGTATTGTTATGCGAGCAATCCGTACCGCGTCCCGACACATACTCGCTCGGTTATTTGAAAGTGTTGGTACAGCATCTGTTGTTTTCTTCTCTTGGATTTAGAACAGAGGTTAGGCGTAGTCCTCTAGAATGTATAAAAATCGCTTTTGTGAGCAGCCTCTCGGATAGACGATAGTGCGAGTAATTCAAATATGCCGTTACTGGGAACTTAAATACTTCACGTGAACATGCACACCAAATAAGTTCAAAAAACGGAACATTTCTATGTCCAGCACAAGTAGGCCAAGTTTAAAAAAGATTGACTTTTTCCATGACCATGCCTATAACAGTCATAACGGAACAATTAAAAAAATTTTAAATGATGTTTACTACATTTATTGCTTTTTTTTTTTTTTGGACCTCTTCAACTTTTAGACTACAAGGTCACTTTGCGCAGTTCTGAAGTACACACTGCATTTGCACTGAGTACCAATTTAATATGGAATACAACTTAACCGAAGATCTGTTGAAAAACAATGCGTGATGTAACAAACTACAGAGTGGATTTCAACGTTAAAAAGAGACTACAACATTAAAGAGAACAATAGGGTTCTACGTAAGAGTATCAAACTTCAAATGTGCTGAACATGCTCAGCTCTCGAAAACATTAATCGACGTTGGCATGAACTGAAGCTCTAGAAAGTGCAGTTTCAACAAATCATCCACTCAAAGAAGAAATCGATTACGAATTTAGCGAGGATCACTCTAAGAGGTCCCATACACACCCACTTTAACTGATACTGAAGCTAAATGGAGCTTTCTAGCGCAGGCAAAATTTCTAGATATCAATGTGAACAAGTTTTGCACACAGGCCGGTTAGAAGAATATACAAAGGTAAATTTAAAAGAAATTGAATGTAGTTAGTTCTCTGTTAAACATGTGGAGATTGCTTTCTTTAAGTTTGTATCCCGAGTTATGGAGAATGGAAAAAGTACCCGATATAACTAAAATAAAAATCGCAACATGAAATGAAAAGAAGAAGGTACAGGGCTTCTCAGTCAAAAGAGTTGTTTTCCCAGTTTTTTGTTATTTTAAAGAACAGTTGGAAACAAATAAATATGCAAGTTATCACACAGACATACGGACGAAATCTTATGCCGTTCACGGTCGAGTTTAAAATATATTTATCAGAAAAATCAGTTTGTTATAATTCTATAACAACCAGAGGCATAAACAACTATTGTTGCAGGCTTTTAGGAACAGATATTTAATGGGTCGTTGCAGCAACAGCAGCAATGCTTAGAATGGCCTTAAAGACTGAGCGAAAGCAGGCGATATTTGTTGCCTTAATTATGATTAATTTTTGAATCTTGTTATTAACCGAATCTGCACCAACCAATATTGGCTACATTTTAATGCTCGTGTTGCTCAAGAGGTTTAAACCGTGATAGCGGTGGAAAAAGTGATGGTAAGGAAGTGAGGGATTTTCTGTCTTTCTCTCTTTCGGAGTGAGGACCAAGTAAAAATCTTGTTTAAAAACTTATGCGACAACCTACTATTAAGGTCGCAAGACCGGCATACAACACTTAAGGAGCTTATGCTGTGAAAAAACGCTTAGGCAAGGCTGAACACACAGATAAAATATGCTTCTTTTTAATTTCTTATAATTCTTTAATGTCAAAATACTGTCTAATTCCAGCTCTTGTGAAATCTCTTAATATAAAATAGTGCGCACCGTCTGGCATATTAACCACAATTACGAGTTGAGTCATCACACGTACAGTTTGCAGTGTTTGTTTTCTGACGTTCTACGAACCTTAGAATAACAAAATTCCTGAATATTTTTTTTTCTAATCTCTAGATGATGGATATAAAAAAAGAAATAACAGATATGAACAACACATGACAAAATATTTAAATAGAAAAATATATATACGTACGCACAAATATTTAAAGCATATCGATTCACAAGTTAAAGCATTACATTTATTTATCGCTTTATTGGTTCATATAACAAACATAACAAATATTCGTTATTTTGTCTGTCGTTTGTTTATCTGATGCTCTTGTAGTTTAAAGATATTCGATAGTTAAGAAAAGTATCTTGTATTTTACGGCTTGTTTGCCTGTCTTTCTTCTTTGTCCCTTTATAATTACACACATCGGAACACACGCACAAACAACTACTTTTTCCTATTTATTTTTATTTTATTGCTATTTTACAATGTTGTTATTGTGTTTTTCTTTACATTTATTTTTCAAAATACTTTCTTTTCTTAATTAGTTTATTTTCGTTTTTATTTTATTTATCCAAACATTCTTTTTTTTTTTTTCTTAATTTCAAAAATAATTTCGGCGTTTGCCTTTCTGTTAAGTTCTTTTCACTGCTCGTTGCACAGATTAATGATTTAGTTATGCTTGCCTATCATCAGTAAACACAAACGTTATTTAGCTGGCGCAGTGTTGTATATTTTTGGTACTATCTGAGTCTTCGCTCTCTTCGCTCTCTCTCTATCTCTCGCTCTCTTTCTCGTTTATTGTTATTAAATAAGGGAAGTATAGCTAGCAAAAGTTAACTAAACTTTTGCTAAAAATTACGCCGGTTAATGCTTTCACAAATTCATCGTTCAGGAAACATTACACTTGCGGTCGTTCAAAATCGTAGGCGTGTATCACTTAAAAGTAGGCATCACAGATTTCATAAATTACCTAAATTTTCAATCGTTTTGAATTTCAAAGTCAATTAAATCTTATTCATTGTAGTTATTCTCCTTCATCGTCTCTCCGGTCGTCCCTCTGATCGTTCTGTTTTCTGTTCGCGCGCTCTTGCATTCATTCGCGCCTCCTTTCGTTCATTTTTCTACTCATTGACCTCTTTGTCGCTTCGTCGCTGTTCGCTCGCCCTCTGCTCGTTGGCCTACTGTGCGTTTGTCTCACTGTTCGTTTATCTTTTTGTGCTATGGCTTTTTTTCGAATCGTAGAGATGGCGAAAGAATAACAGACTTCTGGCATTTGTAAGCAAGTCAGATCCCCGAGTGCATTTTAACAGCAGCCTTGACAACTGCCAGTGAACTTAGAACAGTTAATAAGAAGGAAACAAACTTAACGACCTATTTGATCTAAAATTTGCTGAAAGCAATAATTGAAGTCTCTTAAATATTCGATGAATGTCAATTGGCACTGTCTCTAACGGTTTTCTTTTGCCCACTGTTTGTGGCGTACACAGTTTGTGAAGGTATAATAAGTTTGGTCGAATGCGCGCAACACCTAGATGGATTTGAGATAGATCCGCCTTTTATTCTCAGAATCATTTTCTGAATCGATTTAAGCTTGTCTGTCCGTCTTTCCATTTTGTTCTCTTCCGCTCAACCTTCAAAGGTTTGCAACGCCCACACGGAAACATCAGAGACCCTACAAAATATATATATTCCTGATCAGCATCAAATTTGAATCGATTTAAGCATGTCCATCTGTCCGTTTGCTTCACGTCTCTTGTAAACATTCTCCTGGCCCCAAAAATGAAACTTCAAATATAGCAGAAACATTGGAAGTTCTTGCACGCAGGTTGGTATTGAAAATGGTCGAAATCGGTAGACGGACCACAGCTTAACGTAAACTGACAACATCTCTGTTTTTCAAAGGGATTAAAAAATTGTTTTTTTGCGCATTACTCTTAAACTACAATAGATGTATGTAGCACCTGTACCACTGTAGCACAGTGGTCAAAAAATCGAAAAAATTGATCACGCCTACCAATATTATAGTGTATCAAAATTACATTTTTTTTCCATACCTCTATTAGGCGCAGAAAGAAGATTCACAAACCTCATAAAGAATATAAATTCTTCGCCGGTTTCAAATTTTGAATGCACCTAAAAAAGTCGCTCTGCATGTGACACTGTGGAGTATTTGTGGTAAACATTCTCCCGTTAGAGAAAATGAAGACATGCCCTACACGTTTACAAAAGTATTTATAAGTGACTTAAAATTTTACAAGGACACGCCTATAACGCCTAGAACGCTTGCACGCCTGCGTAAAAAAATCTTTTATTTTGAAAATAGAAAAATCAGCCGAGCCCCTTCCATATTATAGAGCATGAAAATTTAATTCTTTCAATTTTTTTTTGTAAGTACAACGTTAATGGATATAAAAGACTCCGTCACGACCGATAATACAAATTTTCTTACTTGCTTTTTATATATGCTTTGGGCGGGTGTTCATTCCACAGGATAACGCTTTTCTTATATCTCTTAAGTTTAATAAATGTTCTAGAAAATCATTCGAAAATGTGAAAAAAATTTTGATACAAAAGGAAAAGAAGCAATTACGAAGCCTACAACTGGCAGCCTCAGAAAATTTAAATAAGTTCCCAAATTTTTTAAATAAGGTTACTAAGCCGTCGCTAAGCAAACGAGCGTGCAAAACCGAATCGAAATCCGATTAAAAATCAACTGAAAGTCTTAATTTTTGAAAAATGTGAAAACTCGATTCAATGTTTAATATAATATTTTCGGACATAGTAAAAGAAATATCAAAACCGATCTCGATGTACCTGTCAAAGGCCGATATGATGTTTAATATAATATTTTTGGACATAGTAAAAGAAATATCACAATCAGTCCCTATATCCATCGTAAAGGCGATATTCGAAACGTTCGAACGTCTTTTTGTATTGGGAATTGAAATTAGACGAGCTTTGGGTTCAAAATATCTTCGTACAAGAGCATAGAAAATTGAGCTGATTCGAGATGAAGAACAAACTTTTGCGATTAGAACGGAAGGACTTTGCATAAAAGTTAACGTTCATTAGATACCGCGTATAAACTTTAACGTTTGTAATGATTTCTAACAAGATTGTTAGTGTTATTGAATGTTCGCATATTAGGTGTTACTGTGGGACGCTGTTCTTCAATTAGTTCAGACGTCCTCTTTTCTCCTTTGTCCCATGTTTTGAATAGTATTTTTAGTGGCTTAGGTTCAGTGTCTGTTTGTTGTTCGCAATAGACTATCGTTATCGTCAATTTTTTTCAATATTTCATGGATTAGAGAAAAAGCACTTGAAGCGTGCATATACCTAGTATATCTAATTTAATGTAACTACAAACTGGGATAAACATTTAATAGGAAAATCGAGTGAGATTGCCACAGGCAGGGAGTTTAGATTTGCATACATAATACTACATCAGAATTGAGTGGAGTAGCGGACGGAATACAACCAACGGAATTCACTATTGTTGTTATTTACGTCAATGTTAATGATGTCGAAAATTGATTAAGTTGAAGCGAAAGTGTAATCGAAATAAATCGTGAGAAAGGAGCATTTTTTTTTTGTTATTGTTCTCTAACACTCGTCAAAGAAGGGAGAAAAAGAAACTCAATAATATTTTCTGTACGGGAAATACTTATCATTAACAGCTATACGTACATAAAATATGAAATATTTATTGTAGTGACGCGTTAGAAACTTCTTTTCACTTTTCTGGAACTTAATTTTTTTTTCTCCTTTTTAATTTATTCACCAAAAAAAAAAAAATGCTTTATAAATATTTTTTTGATTTAAAAAATTTTATTCTTCATTTACGTTAGAATTATTTTATTGTAAAAAAAACTTATATTGCGGATTACAGAGAAATTGAAAAGATTTTCATTATTTTTCACATTCACAGATAAATTTTTTTCAACCGAATGGTTGTTCTTACGGTAATTTACTTGTATTTATGTATGCAGTTATGCGTAGAATAGATATCCTAGATATCCACATCTGATTGCTTTCGTCATGTCAAAAAAACTGATGAGGCAACTCTAAAGAAAAAAATCTCCTATTTTTTTTTTTTATCTTTTCGAAATAACGTGTTTTACGAAGTTTTTTCAACCGTAGTTCTGGGCTTTATTTTTTCAAATTTCGGGCGAAAAATAATAGAAATAGTATTTAACAATTGTTTAAGGATTTATTCAAAAACAAATGTTGATACTCGGAAGAAGTTCATGATTGCAAATCCAGGTACAGCGTTACCACAAATAGAGGGTAATAAAAAAAATGATGTGTTCCAGCAAATCGTTCGATTGCACTTATATCAATTAAAATGTTATTGTTGACTGATTGAATGTTATTGATTGACACTATAAAAGAACGTGGGAGGTCTTCCACACGAAATTATGGGGCAAAGGAGACCGTAGGTAGACCAGAGTGCAGTATAGCCCATGACATAGCAACGGTAAGAAAGTTTCGATCGACTGTCTGCCTCAATAAGGCCTTCTGCGCTTGTGCCTCTCGAGTGTACCCGTCTGTGGACGAGTCTGACGAACTAGCTAGCTTTACGTGTGTTCATCCATTACAACCCTCAACCCTCTGACCTTTTGGCTATATTCATATAATATATTAGTCCATTACACAAAAGTGTCCGACTTTTACTAAAAGATTAAAAATATTACTCTCTGTTGCACAATACAGCATAATAGTATTCAGTTTCCATGTTAGCATTCCATTTAATAGCATTCGTTAAGTTTATTAACAGGCTCGTGGTGCTGTGCCCCCGACGAAACGCACACCGGGGCGGTGATATAAGTTTCAGCAGAAAGAATTTGGTCCTTGAGAATATGTTCTCTAATTTTGCATATTTGTTCTCCATTTTTGCGGAAAAATTGAAATATACCTCAAATTATCAATAGGGTGGACAGTGTTAATTTCAGATATACCGCCCATTGATTTGTAAACAATTTCATCTGTTTTTGATTCGAATTCGCGGAAACGTACGAAGAAGGCAGAAACGATGGTTTGTCCGGGACTAATATTTTAGAGCCATAGAAGATCCTTTGCTTAAATTGGATTTTTTGATTCTTATTTAGCGAACTGTTCTTTTTTTTTTTTTTTTTTTGTTAAAAGTTGTGGAGGGCAATTTTATATTTATTCTTTCTTTTCTTTTTTAAATTCTTTTTCGGGGAGAATTTTTCTTAGCGTCTGTTTATTTTCATAGAAAGGAATGCAGGTTCGTTTATTTTCTTAGGAAGAAATATAGTTTGAAAGGTGGCATAGCTCATGTAAAATTTTTTTTATATACATATATGTATATACATAATTTTCTTTAAAAAGTGTAATAAAAGAGGGCGACGAATACAACTCTCCACAAAAATTGTATTTGCTAATCAAAAGTTTGAACAGCACAGGATATTTTCTATAAAAAGAGAAGGCTTTTTACATTTGAATGTAACACTAACGTTGACATGAACTTTAATTCGTAAAAGTCATCCTAAAGATAGGC